TCAACTGTTTAAAAGAAAAACAGAGAAGGCGGACAAAAGTTGTGAAACGCCTCCACTGACTCCCAAGAAAAAGGCACGCAAAAGTGACAACCCAGACAAAGAAAAGATTCAACGAGCGGCTACATATGCTTTAGATGACAAAGATGGGTATGGGTCTCCCATTCGGACCTCCGGGTCATGTGACTTAACGCCCGACAAACCCAAACGAATTGAGAAAGAAAAAACAAAAGAATCAATTAAAGCTTCTCCTCGAAAGGATCGCAAAGAAGAAAAGAAGAAGGAGAAAGAAAAGGAGAAAGAGAAAAAGAAGGAGGAGAAGGAGAAAAAGCAAGACGAGCTCAGAAAATCAAAACAGCTCGCTCCCTCCGACCCAAAGACCCGCACCGACAAAAAACTCGAGAAGCGAAAGAGTGATGTTTCAGAAGCAAAAAAGGAGAAAAAGAACATCGAGGTCACCGTCGAAATCGGATTTTTGATACAAAATTTCCAGAAGGTGATGAAATGTTGTTCGGGGATGACAGTACGCGAAGTGATTGAGAAAAACATGTTGACGATAAAGGAGGGAATGCATGACGATGTTGTTGTGTATAAGTCCAACGGGGAAATTGTTTTAATGGACGACACCATCTCGAGTTGTGCCGATGGGAATAAAGCGTATTTGTATGTGTCAAAATCCGGGAGGAGGTCTGCGAAACAGATCACCTTCGACGTCGAAGAGAAAGAGAAAGAAAAATCGAAGGACGGGAAAGCAATAGACGTCCAGACGGTGTTTAACCTTGCGCGGTGGATCTACATCCACGGCATCGAAGTTGAGGGCCTCTTTCGAGTGAACGGCGACCAAGGTTTTGTGAGGAAAAAACTCGAGAAGATGGCGAAACACTCTGAACACCCCACAGAGTTTTTGGTGGAAATGAACCATGGCGTGACTGATGTACATAACGTTGTTGGGGTGTTGAAATCGTATTTGCGGGAGAGTTGTCATGGGATATTTAATTTGAGCGACGCGGATATCGTACTGAATTCCGAAGACCGTGCTTCCAAATTGAACGGCATAATAACACGCCTCACCGAAAGCGATAAATTGTCGTTGTGTATCATGTTGAATCTTGCGGAGGCAATAATAGAACTGAAGGAGTATAACTCGATGGGGTTGTCGAATGTTGCTGTCGTTTTTGGACCGATGTTAATACACTCGAATGGCGCAGTCAGCATTATGGGAACACAGTGCCAACTTGAAATGGCAGTCCTCCTCATAAACAACGCGCAGAACATCAGAAAATTGCTGTGCATCGACACATTCTTCCCTGTGGAGGAGACAATTTCGAAGTTTGAAACGCCTGCGGAGTTCAGACGGTCGGAAGGAGAGATAGATCGATTCATGTATGATATCTCGTGCTTGGACAAAGACACGCAGGACCTTGCACACGATATTGTTGGATGGATGGAAAGTTTGTTGGGAGGGCAGGAAAAGGAAGCGATTCATTGGGTTGATGTGTTTTATAAGGAAAACACCGACCATTTTCTTTATATAGTAAACATGCTCACGCCGGACTTTGTCCTCGAGGTAACAGAGAGTATACTCGCCCAGACCAAGGACGATATGAAACAATAATACAATGTGAATTGACTTTTTGTGAGTTTTGATGTTTGGGCTGATAATACCAAAGCTACAAACAATCAAATTATAATACAGAAGCTTGGGAGTGACTGGTGTTAAAAACACTACTTTGTCGAGTTGTCAAATGTGTAGTTGCCATAGACGGAAGACGAAAGAGAAACAGAGACAGAAATCACCGTTGAAGTGGCAGAAGAGAGATTGCCGTCTAAACCACACAAGTCGTCGGTCGAAAGTCTGCCATACCCCTTCTCTCCCCAACTGTTCCCCCACGAATTTCTGATGATAATGTAGTCTTCACCCTTTTCGGAACCATAGCCGACTATGTCTATCACATGTGTTAAACTCGAGACGGTACCACATTTCATGTGAAGAATTCCTCCACTGTAGCTTCTAAATTGGTCTGTTGTGTGGATCAGACCGATTAACGGGCCGTGTTTGATCAACAAATATTTGAAATCATCGAAAGTCAATTTTCCGTAGAAAGAAGTGAAGTTCTGGAGTTCGAGAAGGGTCTGCTTTCCACGAACACATGTACCTTTATAACTGTTTTTCTCGGTGCCGACTTTGTTGAGGAGTTTGAAAGGGTACGCTATTTCAGTCACAAAGTAATTGAGTGAGTTAAGGACAACAGACGGCCAACCACCATTGCAAGCATTGTTGATTGAACAATCGACGATATGCTGTGTGCTGAATACCTTCTTAGTTCCCGTAAGATGGGTGTAATGTGCTTGTAATATCTGAGCAATGGCCATGGCGTAACAACACCCACAGGACCCTTGGCTCATCGTCTGTTTGATACACAAATCACCACCGCCATTGTCGTTGTTCTTCACATATTTCCCGCAATACGACAAGTGTTGTGGAATCTCTTTGAGCTTGGTCGAATAGAAGTTAGTGCTTGTGTTCAGCAACTCGTCGAGTTTGGACAAAGAAACTTTGACAGTCGTCATTTTGGTAAGTGTGGCTTCCAGTGTTTTAGATGGTGGGACAAGTCCTGAAAATAGTGGGATGTCGGTTGATGAAAACACAGTACTGTTGGTGTCATAATACTGGTGGAACGTTTTTGCATATATTAATGTCATAAATGGCACAAGTAACAAAGTCATTTGTACAATTTACTTCTAAGTTTGTTCCTTTGAATTTTCTCGTTCAAATAACACACCGTTCCAAAACGGCAAATCTTCTTTCATCTCGTCAATCTCCCTCGTTTTGTCCATTTACCATTTCATCATTTACCTATCTTAGATTTTCGTTTTGTATTTTTATAAAATATTATTTATAATATTTAAAATATTATAAATATTATATATATAAAATTTTATTATAAACATTAATTTGAAATAGAATAAAGTGATAGTTTGATTATACTATTTTTTACTTTTGATTTGGATTATTTTGGTTTAAAAATGATAATATTAGATAATTGAAAATGTTATGAACGAATTAATGAATATGAAAAAAAAAATATGATATAATTATAGTTTTTCAATAATTTTTTTTCATTTAATATAATTGTATTATAATTTAATTATTAAATAAGTAATAAAAACATAAAACAATTATTGATTAAGGCATACAACTTCATTGAATGAGTGTTGGGCCAAGATGGCCACAATATAATTTTTAGCTGCAAACGAGTCAGTTTTGTTTGTCAGAGTAATTAAAGTTTGAGTACCTGCTTTTTCTAGTATCAAAGTGTTTTCTTTAGTTGAGACAGAGCATTCTTGGCTAAGTTCGAAGTTAGTAATGATATTCCAAGTGGTGTTTCTTTTGTCATAGGTCACTACCAATACCAAGTCACTCATGACGTGAACCATCCCTTTCTTTTTAGAACCACTTTGAGCAGAGAACATTAAAAGTCGATTTGGTTTGCATATGTCCAAATGAGTAACTCGAGCTAAGTCGAAGAGAGATATTCGACGTTCTATTCGTTTGTTTGCTTCTTCACAGAATTGCTCGAAGTTGATGAGGGTTTTGATTAAAGGTATAAAGTCGGGATGTTTTGGAGGTGTTGTCTTTTTTACTTGTTTTAAAAGTAAAGCGTAACGAGTAATCCTTTGAACTGGTTGTATGAATATAGTCTCAAACTTTTCAAACCCAAGTGCACCACTTGTTCGTGCATTTTGAAGGATTGTCTGGAACTTCGGATCATTCACATTTTTCTTCCATAACGAGACAGCATATTCATAATCAGAAGTGAAGTGCAATAATGGAGTAAGTAATTGTAAATTATTGTTCATAACTTTACTTATACATGTTGTGTATTTGATGTTATCAAATTCATACATACTTTTAATAACCTTTTCTGAAGATTCATACACTGTGGAAGAAGTAAAATATCTGTTTATAAGAGCAGATCTACTCAAATTGCATAATGGTTTCTAATGACTCTCTAGCACTTCATTTA